ATGTTAAAACATTTCATCTCACTAAATAATTTTAATAACTAAGTTTAATATTGTGCATAAAATTTCTAGTGACTTAGCATACAGTAGGCACTGGACAATTTTTAGTTTGCTTTTCTTTGTTGACAGTTCATAGCAACATATATTATAGAAGCCGGTTCTTTAGGAACCTGATGTTTAAAAGCAGGAGGCAGCAGACACAAGAGATGCTGTATTTTGTGGTCATTCAGTAACTAAATTTTTTCAAAGCTCAACTTTACCGTGATGGTAACTCTTTGGAGTTGATAGCAGTGATAATTGTTTTATGGTTCAAAAAGTAACAGCTATGATATACTCACATGCTTGCTGTGTGAGAGAGAAATCAATAGGCACTTGTGCTTTTTAAATTTACATCTCATAGCAGCACTACAGTGCTTTAATGTAAAGTCTCATCAATGAGTGGAAGGGTTTTCAGTGTGAAGTTTCAGGCTGTGATACAAAGATGCAAGAAATGTTTCTGTTTGAATAAATTTATGACAATTTATTATGCCAAGTCTCAGTAATGAGGCCAAGGCAGGAGAAAAAGGAGGGTGGAAGAGGGGGAGGAGGACTGTGATGTGGGGAGGGAAAGAATGGAGGGACAAGACTGTCTTGTAGACTAAGCGTCAGTAACCATGGAATGCTTGGTGCTTAGGGGCAAGGAATCCAGCTGGTAATTCGGGAGACCGACGCCTGGGGTAGCCTAAACGCAGCTGCAGTTGCACTTTCATTTCATGTCACTGCTGTCCTTACATGTCATCATAGGCTGGCACTACTAAAGGGCGCTGAGTTCTGTACCCAGGTCTATATACCTGGGTCTGTGTACTTACGTTTTCCATATTACTATTCAGCTTTTGTTTTAAAATTAGAACCTTCAAAACTCCATCACATACACCATGTGTGTCTTCAGCGCTGCATAGTTTACAACCCTGTAGCAATCTCAGGATTCCCTATGGCTGAATTATCCTGCTGACATTACTTGGTAAAGCCTGGGAGCATCTGAATTCCCATTACCTTATTGGTGTGCCTCGTTAATGACACTGCTTGATTAGCATATCAGTAGTACCTTTTCGCCACAGGTAAGAAATTGAAATGTTCAAGGTCAATTAACTGCAAATGTTTCAAGTCGGTTGGTGCAGCTGTAACAGTGAGTGATGCTGGGAAGAGGGAGCGGCCAGTGAGAGATGCCTCGTGCTCCTGATGAGAATTGATGATCCAATTTTCACTCACTGGAATCACGCTGATTCTTTTTTTTTCCTCTCACTGTGCGTCTCTCACATGTTTGTGTTTTAAATAGTGGTCTATAAAGGAATGTCAAAAGTGCCACAGAAATATTATGCAACTCTGTATTAAAAATATGCCTTTATGACCGACTTTAGACCATTAAAATTAACTAGAAAGAGCAAGAAACAAAATAACTCAGTATTTTTCTTAAAGGTGTAAGGTAATGTAGATAAAATTCCAAACATAGAAACTCCAGGGAAAGATGATGGCTGCCTAGAAGCACTTTGTCCATTCTTTTCCCAAATTTGATGTGTAAAGAAAGAAGATAAAAAATGCAGAGAGAGTTGCAACGTATCTGCAACTATGCTACTGATATTAACCAAGCACCCTTGGTGAACATCAGACCCCAGAAACTTTCAACTTGAAGACTTTTGATAGACCTGAGGCAGAACAGTAAAAATTAGATTGGACACTGGAGGGAAGTTTTTACCCACTCACCCCTCCCGTCATGTACCCATACTTCAAAGACACGGTCTGCTGTTAACTCTAGAGAGGGAAGACGGCCCCACTGCCAGGTAGCCAAATCCTGAAATCCCCCAGCCCTGGTTGCTGCTGTCTTTTCTCCACCCGTTATGACGCACCCACTTAACGTGTCACAACAACAAGCGCACTGCGTGTCCTAATTCAGAGCACGGTGCCTCTTGCCGCTCTGCAGACTGGTGCGAGGTCTTCAGACCCTCTGTGTCTCAGCACGGTGCCCAGGGAATTAAGTAACAGTGCCTTCACAGCATGCCCAACCAAAGTACTCCCTGCGTAAACACTAGTAATACCACAGTGAAATAAGTGGAAAAGTTGGATGGAATTTCATTACACCCTGGGAAATGAAATATGGTGAAGGAGTTGGCTTAGATTTTAAAATAATGCTATGAGAGGAGTTTGCAGTCAGGGTTCGAGAGCTCCCTGAGCTATTTTTGGTCAGGTGCTATTTAAGGTGTTCTTCAGAGCATTCAAAAGTAAGTTCTCTTCCACGTAGATAACAGACTGCATGAGAGATGCCCTTTGTGGACAGCAAAGCCGTGCTAGGTCAGGGACACCAAGGCACTCAGATTACAGCCAGGTCCCTTGTCTACCCAGCAAGCCTTCTTACTTAAAACCTAAGAGTTTTTCCCTGTCACCTAAACATGGTAGATGGTGCCCCAAGGAACTCTACTCATCCAGGTTACCAGCCCCACCACACATTCTCCAAGGGCAGATACAGAGAAAAGTAAAAACAGACCAGTAAAAACTGCACAATCTCTAAATATTTTGGGTCCCTAAGGAGAGAATTGTACTTTCGATGTACAGACTGGAAGACACTTTTGGACAATGATTCCCTCCAAGACAGAAGGAAATTGGAAAAAAAGCATCTAGTTCTAAAAACTATGCAGTAAGTAAGCTCAGGAAGCATAGCTGAATACAAGCAGGAGTTAGTGTGATGCTGTCAAGAGAGGAGATTATAGGAATAGAATTCTTTTAAAAAATGCTGTCTTGACTCATTTTGAGGTCCTGACTGGAGCCAGGTTAGTTCCCCTCCTTGAGCAGCTGGTTATGTCCAAACCCAACCCCTCCCCTCACACCCTCTGTGGCCACTACACATCTAAACTGGTCACGCAGGAGCCAGGTGCAGATGCCTGGACACAGCCCCTGCTGCCCGGAGCCCCTGCAAATTAGCCAGTCCACAGGGAGCGCACAAAAGCTAGCTAACTCCTCCCCGCTCGCCACACATCAGCTGCCCCCTTCAGCTTCAGCTAGTTATCCTTTCTGGGGACACTTTTCCCTCCATGGTTCTGCCTGGAAATCTTCTCCTCTTTGAAGCTGTAAGTAACACAGAGTTCTGCTTTTCCTTGCTCAGAGTGTCACTGTGTTGTTTGCCACCCAAAAGATTTTTAAATCTTATTAAAGCAGGTTGTTCACACAGGCCTTTTAGGCCTCACAATGGTATGTGCTGCACCATAATAGTAAATATTCATCAGGCATCTCTGTATTAGGGCCTGACTCAAGGTTTATAAAACAGGGCACAGATACCAAGAATAATGCTTGAATAAAAACTGTATATTTATTGTTTTTCAGTTACTAAATTGTGTCCCACTCTTTGTGACCCCATGGACTCTTGCATGTCAGGCTCCTGTGTCTTCCACTTTCTCCTGGAGTTTGCTCAAAAACTCTATATAAATATAAATTAATGATAATCTCTATTTAAAATGTCGGAACTTATTCTTAGAGCCTCAGGTGGAAGGCAAAAGAATGGGGAAAAGAAAGCATGGACTAATATTCTCATTTGGTATATTATGTAACAGATACTGCATTTTAATATATATCAAGTAATAGATAATTATGGATTCAAGAATAGATTAAACCCTATTTAGTGACTTTTACAGAGATTATATAATACTTACAAAGTCAGCAATGTCAATATTATTTAAAGAAATTCCCTAAGTAAAGCATTATTATAGTAAACTGGATGTATAGTGAAATATCTTAACAAGACTTACAGTAGGTATCACATCTGTAATTTCTGGTATGCATTGGATAAAACAAAACACAGTAAATTCTGTTCTACCTATATTTCCTTGAATATACAGTTGACTTCCACTCTTCACTTCCGAGTGCTTAAGCACAGCTTACCCTCTCTTCTGTGGCTCTCCTATCCCCCGTGGGGTCACCACCACCCCCATTCCCAGATAGGATACAACTAGTGATGTGTTGGTGAACTGGCTGGGGTCAGAGTGAGTACTGATGTGTAGAGTTTGCCAATTTTCATGATTTAAATACTCCCACTATGGCCAGTTGCAAAGATGGCTATGTTTAATAATCATCTTGTAGAATTCCTGAAAATGTAATCATCTCTTGCCCGTTGCTGTGAGCCAGTTATCACTGGATGGAACTCTCCATCACTTACTGTATCCATCACTTACTGTTCCCTGCGCCTGCCTCACTGTTAACATTTGCCAGGTTGTGTCTCCAGCACGCTTTTCAATGTCTGTTCCTCCTGTGAGCTGTGCTGTGCTCAGTCGTGTCTGGCTCTCTGTGACCCCATGGACTGGAGCCCGCCGGGCTCCTCTGTCCCTGAGATTCTCCAGGCAAGAACACTGGAATGGGTTGCCATGCCCTCCTTCAGGGGATCTTCCCGACCCAGGAATCGAACCTGCGTCTCCTTTGTCTCCTGCATTGATAGGCAGATTCTTTACCATCTGAGCCACCGGGGAATAAGACTGTAAACAGAGTGAAGGCAGGAATGATCCCTTGACCATTCTTGTATTCTGGGGCTTAACACTGTCCTTCTTTCTCTGAGTCTAAACATGATCAGACATTAGAGGTCATTTCCAAGTTCCATGTAGTTTGAAGGTAAATCACAGTCTGAAGCCAAATCATTACTCAGTCATGTGTTTGGGCACTGAACATACTAGTTCCATGTGTTGACATGGTTGTCTGCCTCTCAAATTAAGGACTTTAAACCTACAATGAGTTTAACCTCACTGAATTAGCTCTCCCAGTGTCAGATGGTTGTAACACCTAGAAATCAACATAATTAATTTAAGCGCCATCCATTTACATTACATTCTTGTTTCTCTGTATTTTTTTACTATTATGGAAAGTTTTGTAATTTGGAGATTTGACTTTCTGAAGTTTCATAGAGGAATAGTCTTACTGGCATTGCTAGTTCATTAACAGATGTTTAATGAATTCTTTGCTCATTTCCCCTTTTTCTCTTTTCACGAAAGGAGCTGGTGGCTGGTCTCCACTTGTGTCAAATAAATACCAGTGGTTGCAGATTGACCTTGGAGAGAGAATGGAGATCACTGCCGTGGCCACCCAAGGAGGATATGGGAGCTCCAACTGGGTGACCAGCTACCTCCTGATGTTCAGCGACAGCGGCAGGAACTGGAAGCAGTATCGCCAGGAGGACAGCATCTGGGTATGTTTCTTGAACAGAATACATGGCCTCTCAGAGGAGGAAGCACGGTCATTCCTACAGGCAGTTTAGGAATCTCTTAAACTCTGTTTAGAAACAGAATCTTTGGACTTACTTAGAAAACATTTTCCGATATATTGATATTCATTTTCCAATACACTTTATGGTTTAAGAAAATACTAAAAATAAACTTATTTCACAGAGCCCTCAGAAATTGAGGAAAAAAAATCTCATTAGTGCTCTAAATAGTATGAAGATTAAAGAAAGAAACCAAGCCTGTATAAAACATTTTTTGTTCAGTAACATAGTAGTTTTGCATTGCCTTTATTTACGGTTGGTGAAAAGAGGTTTTTTTGTTGTTCTGATGACTCTGAGAAATATGAATTAATGTCTCTGTCTTGTATATAGAGGTTTTATATACAATATTTAGAATATTTATATATGTCTTATACACACATATATGATTTATATATAAACCTTTCTATAGTCTTTTCAAGTGTTAAAATGCCGTGTTTTGTGGACAGGGCACAGCTGCTCTGAGGGAGACTGACCAGGAGGCAGTTCATAATGAAGTGAGTGGTACTTGTAGTTGACCAAGTATACATGCACACCTGGTGGGAGAAGGGAGCTAAAGAAAGTTTGCTTGCTGCTGAAGAAAGGGCTTCTCTTTTAGTGCAGAAAAGTATTGGTTTGGATTTTATGTGGGCCAGGGACAACATACTGCAATCAAAGAACTTTTTTTTTTTTTTTAATTTTCCTCTGACTGAGCTGCTGGAACCAGAGAAAATGAGTAACTTAATGAAGCGTTGTTCTGAGCACACAGATAATTTGGAGGCCTGTTTGGGCACATAATGATAATTTTCTTTGATCAGTCAACGGCCTTTCTTTTGAAACTTCCTAGAACTCTGTGATACATTATAAACTCATTGAAGAAAGGGACTGTGATTTATTCACCTTTGTATCTCTGAAGCACTTGGTGGCCATTCAATGCATGTTTATTGATGTAAGTTGAATTGAGAAAATGTAGCCCTGCTCTTTCTCTAGAAAGAAGGACTGTTAGGCTGGAAGAAGTTTTCTGTAAGCATTTTCAGAAAACCTGCCTTAAAATCCAAAGCAAGTTGAAGTTATGTATAAGAGTGAGAAAAATTGGATATTATGGTTGACTTAATCCAATGAAAACCATTCAAACTGGGGATAAATTAAACTGTAATTATGAACCAATAGCTATGAAAGCTTAATGAGGTATTTTTTTAACTAGGTGTTTGGTTACTCTTTTCTTCTAAATAAGCTTTGGATTTTAAACTAGATAAGCAGTGGCTAATATTTAGCTGTATTAAGTAAGATGTATGTTTTTGACATTTTTTAAAGAGAAAGATTAACCATGAAAATTAATTGTTTTTCATGGATCAAGCTTGAGGAAAGCCAAACCTGAGTACTGTTTGTCTTTTTCACTTACCTTGTAAAAAGCGAGATGCTCAGGGTACATTAGTGACATGAATGATATCCTTAACTAATTCAAACAAATCAATGTAAAGACAGATGGTATATATCACAGTTATCTGGCTTGGTAATATCCTTTTTAGACTCTGACTATGGTCAGAATGGACTAAAAATTTTGGAAGGACTGGACTATAATTTTGGACATGATAAAGAAAGCAGACAGATAACTGAACATCAAGATCGAAACTGAGACTTGGAGCTGGTTCCATGACCACACATAAAATGGATAAGGTTATGGTGTAGGTAAAACAGCTTCAAATCTTCAAACATTGTTAATATATGTATAGACACACACGTGCATGCACACACACACACACTCATGCTGTCTGTACACCCCAAGTAGGCTCACAGTTCTCTCTTTACCCCGTAATTACTCAGGTCCCTCCCTGAGGGAAGCCCCGCTCTGTGACTCTACAATAGCAACGCAGGCAAAATGAAATATGGAGAATTGTGCCCTGGTTCCAGGTTGTTTAAAATGATCTGGCACAGATCACTTTAATGTGGGATTTTTTGTTTTGCCAAAAACCAATTTTTAATTGATGTTCATAGTAAGGAATTTAACTCTTTGTCACATTTTGCACATCTGTATTTCCTTTTTTTTTTTTGCCCATTATGGGTAACGTGTCTAAATTATACAAAACATGACAATTTTTTTAAGTGCTTCACAGTCTGCTCCAGATGATACAAATAAATCTGTGAAAGAGAGTTAGGGAACCCATAAAGCATTATAGGAGAACGTGATGGAAAGAGGAAGAAAAGGCAGTTGTTACAAGTTTAGAAACACATAAAATAAAACCCATCAACATGGATGGAAATGCTGCCACGGGGATTCCTCATTTTCCTTCAATGTATTCTCTTCAAGCACAAGAGAGAGCAGTGACTTCTGTCCACCTGAAAGAATTCATCAAATGCCCTGCTGCTTCTTACAAATAATCCTTAAAAAAGAAAGGCAAAACACTTTCTCTGTTATCTTTATGGCCATGCATATACTTGACAGAACTGTAAATTTGAGAGAGACATATTTTTAAAAAATTAATTTTTGGATAAAATTTATAGTCCATTGCCCACAAATGTAATTTATACAAACTACTCTTTCTAGACAGCATATAAATATTTTGCAAAAAATAGAAAGTGCAAACTGCTGAAATTGTTCCTCTCAAATTGAAGACAAAATAAAATTTCTCAACATCCATGGTCAAAAGACTTTTCAGTCAGTTTATTGTAAGTGACTGGAAAAGAAAGTGTAAAGTATAATTTTCACTCATCTAAGAACAATTTCTGGAATTTCATAAAACTAACATCTTAGAAATTATTTTAAGCAGATTAACATGTGCAGGAACTTTACAGCTGAATTGTACAAATTCTCTCTTTTACACTGCAGACTATAAGGGCAAGGGACGGGATGGTACTAATTTTATGAATTATTTAAATAAATATGATTATTATGCACAATGAGGCTTCCCTGGTGGCTCAGGCAGTAAAGATTTTGCCTGCAATGCAGGAGACTTGGATTTGATACCTGGGTAGGGAAGATCCCTTGGAGAAAAAGAATGGCAACCCATTCCAGTATTCTGGAGTATTCTGGAGCCCGGAGAGTTCCATGGACAGAGAAGCCTGGTAGGCTACAGTCCATGGGGTTGGAGTGTATTATGCACAATAGTGTACTATTTATGGATTTCAACTGTATCTCATTTTTCAACCAAAAACCCATAATTTCATATTAACATATTTCTGAAGTTAGTATAACTTTTTAAATTAAAAGTGTTGAGTGTTGTGGTTTGGTTTTGGCTAGTGAAAGATACGGAGCCCCCCATGACATGTATAGTTAATTAGACAAAAGTATCACCTGTCACCATATAGTCACGGCATTATTATCACTGTGAATTGTTGAGTTGTCAACTCTATAAGCCCGAAAGGGCAGAAATACCACCTGCAAAGATTTTAACATGTATTTGTCTCCAGTCAAATAAATAAGTGACTCGGGTCATTTAATTGAAAATCGAATGAGGCAGACATCCAAGTGAGAGGTGTGTGGTAAGTCTGGTGGATGCCCCACTTTGTGAGGTGCACCTTTCCTAGATCTTTCCCTATGTTGACGTTTCTCCTATGTTTTTCTACTATTCTAAGCGTGCAGAAGTCATGTGTGGTGATGTAAAGTGTAACAGCTCTGGTGCCCTGTATGTCAACATGTCAGATCATCACGCTTAATGCCTTGCAATCCTTGGCTCAGAACTTGGGCAAATGCCTGGAGAGTGCTTTAAGCTGCTTCTGCCTTTCAACACAGCCTCTGTTTGAGTGCCAGAAAGATGTTTTTATTGAAAGTCTATATGATTTGTCTGTATTCCCAGGGACTCTCCTGTTTATATTTCTATTTAACTGGGTTCTCTACCCTTTTGGAAATGATTAACCTAGGAGTGCCTGGTTGGAGGTAGCTGCATTGGGGTTTTTAATGTGACGTTGGTCATGAATCAGAACAATTAGTCTGCTAGGCACCTTCTCAATCAAGCAGCATGGTTTATTTCACCTCGTCCCATCCATGCCCATTCTGTAACATGTTATGTCAGTCCCTTCTCATAAACTTCCTGGGCTCATGTAAATTGGAACTTTACATGAATATGTAATGTACAAATATATATATGAACTTCTGTAAACTGTGGGAACACATATGCATTGAATAAGACAAATGGCAATGTTGTTTCACATTCTTCTAATTGACCTGTCCCTAAGCAAGCAAGCAAAATAAAAATAATTTGAAGAGAGTGATTAGGGTCAGCAGATTTGATTTAATGCCCCCTTCAGAGCACACACTCAAATCTAGTTTATTCTCACAGCATCAACCAGAGGATGGCATGTTTTAAAAACACTTTACAGCTCGTGTCTCACATTCTCCCACGTGACAGTTCAGTGATGAGACACTGCCCTCTTTTCTCCCCTCTTTTCCTTACTGTGATGCAGTGCTGCAGATGTCTGCTTCTGACTCTTCTCATTCCCCAGTCCCAGGAGGTACATTTGGAAATCTCTCTGAGAAGCAGTGCTGTCCTTCTGAAATGTTTCTTTATTGCTCTTTGAGTTTCAGTCAGTTAGGTCTTTTAAAAAACTAATGCATGAGCCTGTCTTTCCTATTTTACATTTAAAATTTTCAAACTTACCACACATAATCAGAGAAGAGGCTAGAAAAATATATAAAGCTAGAAAGGAGGGAAGATTTGGCATTGATACAATATATTCCTTAAAAATCTAAGAGAACATCTTATTGTTTTTTTAAAAGAAAATTCAATAAATTCTGTGCCTGACAATAAAATTAATTTTTAAAACCTGTAATTTATCTTCCTATATATAAATAACTAGGTAGACAACATAAAAGGAATACATATGCTCCACTTATAATAGAACTCCCAAATGATAAATATCAAGGGAAAAAGTAAAAAGCAATTATGAGATTTATGAAGATAATATTTAGAATATTACTAAAGAACATAAAAGAAGATGATTAAATGTAAAGA